AGACATACAGAGGCTGCATATAGACACGAGGTATATCATATACGTAAACTAACACATACACCCAGTGCAGCACACATTCACAGACGAAGGTTGGTCCATTCATCAAACAGTGATCTGATTATACACCTTGGGCAGACACTCATCACAGCGCCGCTCGATTACCGGGCAATCACACATCATTGAATGCAGAAGCTTAGAAGTAGTCTACATAACTACAGTCCACACTACGTAGCCGCAGAAAATCTGCAAACTAAGTGAATTTCAATCTGTCTCAATTCTGGATTTTTATTAAAATATTTCCATAAAAAAGTCGTATTTATTCCCAATTTAAATAACACTAGATTGAACGAATACTTAGGTTTGCTTTTATGGGGGAAGGAAACGGTGTTTTAAATGTTAATAGTATAGGATGACAAATAAAATTCAAAATTTTCTGAAAACATAACTACAAGCGAGCAAACTACAACAGCTTTATTGTTCTCCTTAAGATTAACATTGGCCTTTTAGATGCACAGTAATTTTGTAATTTTCTCCGTATTAAAAAAAAAACATGGCTATTTAGCAAAAATCTATGTTTGGAAAATATGAAATTGCGGCTATATGAGTGTAATTACTGACTTACAGACGATTCAAATGAGATTTATATTTTTCCTACAGTTACCTAACAATGTACATGTTCTCTCACTGATTTGAGAAAGAAAAATGGCCAATTCGCTCATCAGTGAGACAATGTTAACATTGTCTCACTCTAATTACTTTGTCTCACTCCAGATTTGGAACGTGACGGCACGAAATAGTGAGCGCGTAACATGCAGGCAACGTCGTATGCGCGCGAAATACGTTGGCAGCACTGGCTGTAAATCAGCTGGTCAGCTGTTGTACTGTTGTATTTGTCACTTCACATTAAATGTTAAATTAAAAGTTCACTTCTGTGTAAAAATAGGTTATGTTTCTTCACAAATTTATTTGTTTTATGGTAACTGTAGGAAAAGTATAATGTGCAACTCGAGTTCAGTACAATTGCCCCACTCGAGAAACCATTCCTCACTCACCTACGGCTCGTGAGTAAGGATTTCTCTGGAGTGAGTCAATTGCTCACTTTTCTCACTAGTTGCACAAATAACTATTTTATGACCCCTGAAAATGATACTTTTATAAATTTTATGGAGATTAAATAAAAATGCGTCTGATAAGACTTGAAAAATTAGTCATTCATGTAACTAGTGGTCAAAGTGGCACTTTGCTGCGCATGAGAGAAATGTTTACGCACGAGCTGTAGGCGGGTGTGGAAAGTTCCTCGAGTGCAGCAAAGCCAGTTTGCACTCGCCTTACACATTATATTTTTCATACAGTTACTATAAAGCATATAAATAATTATTAATCTTTCAAACACTGTACAACACATTTTTAGGATAAATAGTCAAAGGTTAATCCAAAAATTGAACGAAATGGGAAACGCTGCACCAGCTGATCGTAAAAAGTCGTAATATCTTAATTTGCCAACTTATTTTCAAGCGTGCATAATAAAAGCACGTTTTTTTGGTGTTGTGTAGTTGGAATACTGGAGTGCGGCAAAAGTAAGTAAATGCAGCAATTAGCAACTTTCTTAGCTATAATCAATGCAAGGAAGGCCACTTTGTCAGGTAACTGTAGGACAAATATATTTACACTTAAGCAGTTTTAAACAAGACGGTAAGACATACCAGAAACAAAAGAACCCTGGGCCATTTCGAGCCGCGCAGGTTTGAAGGGTAGGCCACACCTACCGGCGCGAACCACGTGATCTTTTCGTTTCTGCTCAGGTTGTTTTGTTCTTGGGATGTTCTTGTTTTTTTTTTTTAATATTAAGACATGTTCTGGACAACAAGATAGCTATCTTCGGTTAAAAATTAATTCATTGTCAAAACCCAAATTTTAAAATCTTCTAAATTTACAATAAAAATAGTTAGCGGGGTTTTGTCTCATAGTCGACGCATGTCGGTGGGCCTACCAACCAATGAGTATCCCACTGCTATTACATATGTAGTCTTGATTCTATTTATCAAACACGATCACCTAAAATGGCTGTTCCTCGGGGACGATCGTTTAGTGAATAATTGTACGGGAGGATCATCAATACACGTATCGATATCGCGAGGATCGATTACTAATCGCCTCGGACCTCCCGTGGTCGCTGGTACAGAGCCTCTCCCGCCGTCGCTTATCAATATTCCTGTGGTCAGCCGGCGATGTCCTGACAGGAAACGCCACAATAGATATGACAATGTTTATTGCGCCGCTTGTCTGTGCCGCTAGTTCACTGACTCTGACTCCGCGTGCCGCCAACCAAAATGTTTGTCTTAGTTTATTGCGCCGCGATAACCACGGTATGAGGAGTGGTGTTTGGGTCTTTTGAGCACTGTTTCGTTTTGGTTATTTTTCTTCTGTTTCGGTTCCAACTCCATCGGAAATAAATAACAATGTACTTGCTTAATGTTTAAGATACATATTATTGATGATGTTTTTAACTCTCCATAAATATTATTACAGTCGTACCGGAAAGACTGCATCACGTGTTGTGCGGTGGATTTGTACCCCGAAACTCACACTCCAGTAGCTCACAGACAGACCCTTTGAGCCCTGAACAATCTGCATTTTTTGTGTCGCCGACCAAACAGGTTTGTTCCTATTTGTTATTTCGAAAGACACGTCTCACCCTCTGGGAATGTTTTAGTCATCGTCAGACAAATATCAAGATCCGAGCTTAAGATCTCAACAAGCAATTGATGAAACCCAAGATCCTAGATACAACAATAAACGTAACATAGACGCTAAATTAATGCCTCGCATTCTAACAAGACAATCATTGCTTTTCTCTTTTTTGAGCCGCTCCGAATTAATCTACCGCCTTGACATTTAGTCAGGCCGACATGACCGTTACGAGAAGAATAGCCACGGGCGTTCTCTAGACTCTAGACTACAAATTAAATGTCCGAAGTGGCATGACTCTCAGTAGACGATCTGTGCTTCAAGTACGAAGTATCGTTTCGAAGTGGTTATGGTTTCCCCTCATCCCAAACCGTATACAATATATGAGATCTCCCGGGTATTCTGGCTCAGATTATTCAACGCATGCAGTTATCAATCTCCGAAGTGGTTGTGGTTTTGATAGTTTCCCCTCATCCCAAACCGTATACAGTATATGAGAACTCTCGGGTATTCTGGCTCAGATTATTCAACGCATGCAGTTATCAATCTCCGAAGTGGTTGTGGTTTTGATAATTTCCCCTCATCCCAAACCGTATACAATATATGAGAACTCCCGGGTATTCTGGCTCAGATTATTCAACGCATGCAGTTATCAATCTCCGAAGTGGTTGTGGTTTTGATCGTTTCCCCTCATCCCAAACCGTATACAATATATGAGAACTCCCGGGTATTCTGGCTCAGATTATTCAACGCATGCAGTTATCAATCTCCGAAGTGGTTGTGGTTTTGATCGTTTCCCCTCATCCCAAACCGTATACAATATATGAGAACTCCCGGGTATTCTGGCTCAGATTATTCAACGCATGCAGTTATCAATCTCCGAAGTGGTTGTGGTTTTGATCGTTTCCCCTCATCCCAAACCGTATACAGTATATGAGAACTCCCGGGTATTCTGGCTCAGATTATTCAACGCATGCAGTTATCAATCTCCGAAGTGGTTGTGGTTTTGATCGTTTCCCCTCATCCCAATGTCATCAATCTTATATACAGTATTTGAGAACTCCCGGGTATTCTGAATCAGATTATTTGAAAAGACTTTTTTTAACTTGGGTATACAAGAATAGAGAATGGTAGGTATTATTGAAAATCTGAATAAGTAAATCGGTTGTTTTAACTATGCATAATATTTATACGGATGGCAGACTGATCGATATTCCCAGATTTAGTAAAGCTCCAAATATTCGACTAAGCATGATATGTTAGAACCACATGACGTCAGAGTTGTGTATAACATTTAGGAACTTTGCATTACTGTAAAGTTGTTAGTACTAGAATTAACCAATAACAACCAATAATAACCAATAATAACCAATATCTTCATTGTTAATGTACAACTAGTTTGGAGTAAGCCATCTTTATTAGTGAGGCAGATCGGGGTCACCGAACTGGTGACATCATCATAAATATAGACTATAGAGGATCGTACGTAAGTAGTATGGCAATATTATATAACTATATGACAGTTACAAAGAGGAAAGATCATTAGTTAAAGTTATAAGTTACAGTATTCAGGCACAGTACTTTCTGCAATATTGCCATGACGAGGTCCAATATTTTAATCTCTGAAAAATTGGAATCTGTTGGGGGTTCATAATGTCAAGAAGTCAGCAAAAACTCTTTAAACTAAACACGTGATGCCCGGAAATAATTACTAGTGTACTGTGTTTAACAGCTTTACTGTTATAAAAATACCAAAAACATAAAGTAAATAGCACTTTTTTGTTGTTTCTGTTCAGTTACTCTATGTTCAGTATGTCTTATCTATGGTTACTCATATGGTCAGTGTTTCTGACGGGTTGCAATTACGGGCCTTGGTGGTAAGATGTAAAATAATATTTGAAGAAGGGGAAATATACGTAAATATTTAGGTTCTAGCAAAGTTTTAAGTGTTTAAGTATTTTGTTTGAAGTAAAGTTGTATGTATGATTAAATATGTTTCATTTTGGTTCCAAGCGTTTCCCTCCGATTATTATGGTTGTGCCGTAAGCATTAGAAACTCCTCGTTCCAATTGTCGGAGGTGAGCGCGGCGGGACGTCTGTTCGTCTGTTGTAGAGACATGTTGATTGATGTCCACTGTCCAGGCTGGCCAACCGAATACTGCAGAGTTGGGCAGTCAATATGCTATTAACATAATCTACTTACTGCCTGTAATTAAATATTATTTACTACCGGTACTTTAGTCTGTGCTACCACGTAAAACTGAAAAATCCCTAAAATATGAATAGGTTACAGTATTTCTGATGTGTTTCAGCACCGACACGGCCACGGTCGGGACAAGAGGCAACACTCGCCGGGCAGCTATGTGTTGGACGTGCCGGGCCCCGAGGTAGGTGACTGGGGCCCCTGGTCTGCCCCGGGCCCCTGCTCTCGTACATGCGGCGGCGGTGTCACCTTCCAGACCCGACAGTGCAGGTCTGTATGTTATTTGATAATCATGCAATTTTACTTTTTGAACTCTTTTTGTCGATACTTGATTTTATATTTACTGTTTCTGTAGCTTTGACAAATTATGGTCCTCCAAGTAAAATTTGAATAGTTATTTTAGTTAAAGTAAGTGTCATTTACTCTAGACTTTTCTTTCTTTTGAAAATGTTTTAATTTTTCTTGGAGTCAATAGTTTTATATTATTTTGACTGACCCTATGAACGTCATATATTGTTTTAAGGCATTATTATATAGACACTAAGAACAGTATACAAAAAAAGATCCTTGTTAGAGCACACTCTGCCCATGAAACGGCTCATTATCTTACACAGGTCGACATTTATAGTTTGCTATACACTATAATACTCAGAAATACAGTTAAGCTGTCAACACCGGTTTTATACTAAATAGTCGTAATATATGAAAATCCGAAAGAACCAGATGTATGACATGGAGAGGCTGTAGACTACAATTTTTTTAGACGATGGCTGGGTTCATTTTACATAATTGTAATGCTAAATATTTTATGTTCTAATATAAGTTTCGTCCGTCAAAAAAGTGCTTAGGTTAGGTTCAGTCGCGTACGTGATGACAGTTTGTTAGTTGTATGTATGTCGCCCTATGTCGTCGTCCCTTGTAACACCGAGTACACACACGGAACGTACGGCTACTACTGCAACGGCTCATCGTTGTTTTTCACACTGAAGTAATTAGTTTTCGTTTGATTCAATGCTAAATGACAACAATTACTGAAAATAAAACGGTGTTTAAAACAAAAACGATACTTAGGATGTGATAATCTCCATCTAGTTGCCGAATGTGTGACAGTTTCAGATCGGCTGGCGACTACAACGCGCGGTTAGACTGAGGCCGCTCTCCGTCCAGGTTATTGTTAACCTCGGAAAGTTTAAAACTTTTTTAAGTTTGAAACTTTGTCCAACAATTTTAAATCGTATTAAATTTCAACTTTCACTCTTAAAGATGATACAAAATTAATTAACGATGTATTTATTGTTTTTGACGTGTTCAACAAAAAAATAATTTTTGGTGGAAACACTGAATTCATCTTTATGATCCAATGAGCGGTAAATTTAATAGATACCGGTACAGTTGTCATTTTAGCGAATTTCCCATATAGGGAATAAGCTATTACCGTAGTACTCATGGTAAGACCTGGACCCGGGACCGATATTTTTTCGTTTTGAGGTCCCTAGAGGCCAAAAACACCATCCGTTCAAATTCATATATATATGAGTGTGTGTGTGTGTCCGTTAGCGCGATAACTCGAGCAAAAATGATCCGATTTTGATGAAATTTGGTACAAACGTGTAAACCTACGTTTATTCGAACGAGTTCGCGAACCAGCATGATCGGACCATGGGAACGGGGGTTTATGGGGGCTTTTATGGGGTAAAAATGGGTTTTTCCAATTTTTGACCCAAAAAACATAAAATTTTGTAATTTCTTTTTAAACTATTTTTTTGAGCTTAAAAAAACAAATAATTTAGTATATTGAAGCGTTATAATGCGCCTAATGGTTACGGAGAAATTGTTAATTTAAAATTCCCATGTTATTCTTATGGAGAATAAGTAAACTGTTGTAGTTTGCTTGTTTATTAACATATTTTGCCCAAATTTGGAAAATGTTTTAATATCTTACTAACTATTAACATTTTACATAAAACACTTTTACCCTCCCTGTTGCAGCAAACCTAAGTATGTGTTAAACCACAGCCTCCTATGGTTAAACTGATTCTATTTAAATAGGGAATAAATGTGATATTTTTAAGGAGACATTTTAGTGTAAATCCAATCAGGCAAATGGAAATTCGCTTAGTCTGCAGGTTTGCTGCGGCGGGGGTATTAGAGAATTTCCCATATAGGGAATAATCTATTACCGTAGGTCTCATGGTAAGACCTGGACCTGGGACCGATTTACTTTTTCGTTATGTGGTCTCACAGGTCAAAAACACCATCCGTTCAAATTCATATATACATATATATATATATATATATATATATATAAATATTTTTGGGATAAAAAGGGGTTTTCCCATTTTTGACCCTAAAACAAAACATTTAGCAATTTCTTTCTAAACAGTTTTGTAGAGTTTAAAAAAGAAATAATTTAGTAAATTGAAGCGTTGTTGTATGCCTGACGGTCACGAAGAAAATTTTAAAAAGTGTAATTTAAAATTCCTATGTTAATTAGATGTTATAGAGTAAATGAAAACTGTTGTAGTTTACTTGTTTATGGATATATGTTGATAAAATTTGGCAAATTTATTTATTTTTTCCTATACTATTGACGTATGGTCAAAAACACTACCTTCCCCGTAGCAGCAAACCTAAGCACTCGTTAAATCCAATGTTATTTAAATTGGGAATAAATATGTATTTTATGGAAATATTTTAGTAAAAATGTAATCAGACAAGTTGAAAATCGCTTAGTCTGCAGGTTTGCTGTGGTGGTGGTATTCTCATTTATGTTTACAGATGTTGATATCACATAAAAACCTCTTTTTCTGTTCAGAAAATAGTCTTTTGGGACTCGCAATACCAAAATGGCCTTAACCTATACAATTGTTATATATTCTTTGTTAATCTAAATAATTTATAATCGATTTCATTTACCTAGATCTGCTATATAGCCCTGGCAATTACAATGCTCAGTCCAACAAACGCCTTTCATCTGTACATCCCGACACACGCTCACTACACTTAAGCACTGTTATATAACCACCCAACAATCTCCCGTGGCAGAGGAGGTCATAGAAATCAGGCTGTGTCGTTAAGTGTCTAGAGAAATGTTAAAACCCCTTATTATAAGTTGTGCTGTGGTTATCAGAACGACGAATCTCTAATCATTTCTGTCGTTTGTCTTTCACCAAATGCACTACGACAACGCCTCTGTCATTTATTTAAACTTAGTTCATCGAATTATAGTTTGTAAATCTGAGGTATCAATGGCGAAATTGTTTAAAGTAAAGTTATTATAGTCCGTCCGTTTGGTCATGATACCCAGCGGATTAGGAACCTTCGGAACTCAACTCACCCTCTCGACACGGATCGTCGGGCTGGCCGGAGACAAATAATGACTCACCCACTGGCACAGTCCCACAGATCTGTAACTTGTTTTGTTTTGAGTTAAAATAAATTGTTCTTTATAAATTAGAGTTCTACATGAAATTCCAAAAATAATGAGCCCAAACTCGAAGTGGATACTTAAATATATACGATCTGAAAGCATTACAATTACTCTGTATCGTCACCAGCTTTGTCAAACTTTCAGATCGTATATATTAAGTATCCACATCGTGTTTGGACTCATTATTTTTGGAATTTAATGTAAAACTCAAATACAAATTTATTTTAACTTAAAATAAAAAAAAATTACATATCTGTGGGACTGGGTAAACTTTTTATCAACGACCAGCCTGGCAAGGGGGTCTGTCGAGGGCAAGTCGAGTTCGGAAAAGGTTCCTAATCCGCTGGGTATCAAAGCCAAACGGACAATATGTTATATATCATCAATCAATAGTCAAAGATATTATTTGTACTAGTGTAGGCTACCTGTTGCTCAAATAAGGAGAAAATAAGAAAGATGCAGAACTTATTGTATTGAAAGGTGACGATAAAGAGTTAATTACATACAAGCCCTGAAGCAGTTGCAAATAAATTAAACAGATTCTTCTGTTCTATAGCAACGGAGTTGAGAGAAAGTATTATATTAGAACAACAGATAATTCCCCAGCTAGTAAACGAATATAAACCCATGTTTCAGACAACTACATGTAACAATTCTATATTTTTCTATCCAACCTGCGAAAACGAGGTTATTGGCATAATCAAATCGCTTAAAAACAGGAAAGCACCAGGATATGATAATATTACTCCGTTGATTATTAAGAAAATTTCTACTTATATTGTTGAGGTTCTTGTTTTTTTTATAAATTTTAGTTTATATTCAGGTGAATTTCCCAATGATTTAAAAACAGCTATTGTAAAACCGTTATTCAAAAAGGGTGTTAAAACAGATCCAAGCAATTACAGACCAATTGCTCTTTTATCTATATTCTCTAAAATGTTTGAGAAAATAGTTAAGACTAGACTAATAAATTTTTTAGAAAAGTACAAGTATTTTAGTGATGGGCAGTTTGGGTTCAGGAAAAAACGAAGCACTAATTTGGCGTTATTACATTTTATGAGTCAAGTGTATTAGAGGTTTAAATGAAGGTAAATATTGTGCTGGCATTTTTGTCGACGTCATGAAAGCGTTTGATACTGTAGATCATGGTATTTTGTTGGATAGACTTCATGAAGCTGGGATAAGAGGTGTGCCTCATAAATGGTTTGCTTCTTATCTCACTGGACGTACTCAACGTACTCGGGCGAACGGCGTGATTGGTGACCAAGGAACTGTATTACATGGCATTCCACAGGGATCTGTTCTATCTGGCTCTCTTTTTCTAATATACGTAAATAGCTTGTGTAATTGCCGTTTTAGAGGAAATTTAGTGGCTTTTGCGGATGACACTGCATTATTTTACAAATCAGATTCCATTGAAACTTTAAAATTAAATATTCAATATGATGTAAATGCTCTTCGATGGTGGTTTACCAACAACTTCATGGTAATGAGCCCAAAAACTAAATATGTAATTTTTAATCTATCAAGGAACATATTAAGTTTTATTACTCCGATAAAATACCACCAAACAAACTGCCAATCTACAAATTGTGATTGTCCTGTTGTTGAGCAAGTAGAGGAAATTAAATATCTGGGATTACACTTAGACTCAAAGATAAATTGGAAACGCCATATAGATTATGTTAAGAATAAATTAATACAATACGTCAGGTTATTTTATATGTTAAAAAATATGTGTAATCAACGCCTACTCAGAAATATTTATTATGCGATGATAAATTCTAAATTGGAGTATGGTTTAGCTATCTTTGGAGGAGCTTACCTTTCTTCAATTAAGCCATTAATTGTCTTGCAAAAAACCTTTATAAGGATAATTAGTAACAAATGTAGAACAGAACATGCAGCACCACTATTTAAAAAGTTAGAAATTTTGCCTTTGAGAAATCTATATATGTATAAAGTTTTACGAATATTTTATAAAAGAAGTGGAGATGAGGTTGAAACTATGTCTGAAAGGAGAATAACATTAAGAAATAGGTACAATGCAATAGTTCCAAAACCAAATTTAACAGCTTTCAAGAAATTTTATTTATACCTTGCACCTAAAATGTTTAATGCTCTACCATCCAATCTCAAAACCATCTCAGAACAGATTTTTCTAGGCAGCTGTGGCCTTATTTATTAAGTTTGGAAAATGCTGAAATGTACTTTTATGGAATTTAGTATATATACAGTAGTATAGAAGTGACTAATATAGATAATAAGTAATATAAATACTTACTCTGTTGTATCATTTTTGTTTGTAAGTGTATTGACTTTTACTCTGTGCTGAAGAAGATCACTGTGTAGAACTCACACTCACTGTATATATTATAACCAAGTGATATAAGTGACCGGACAAAACCGCCTCTTCGATTTTTAGAACATAAGAAAGTGTATAAATCCACCAACATAGGTTTTTAACCTAAGGTGGTTATTGTTTTTTATTTTTTCATGTGTAAATGTATTTTTGTGTTTGTTTGTTGTATGGAAAAAACAATAAATATTTCTTAAAAAAAAATTCGAGCAATTGCTAAGTATTACAGACGTTATTTTAAAACATTTTAAATTTCTGATGACTTTTAAAAGATTCGACTCAAAGATTACGGAAATACTCAAGATGTACATAACAGATCTATAAAATCAACATTTCTTGTAAATATCTTATCATTTTTCAAAAATTGATCTTGTTTATTAAGTGTTTTCTACAAATAGCCTTACTCATAGCCGCATTAGGTTGTCCATAATACCGATTATGGATTATAAATTATAAAAAATATGATTTCTATTTCTTCTCCTTGGTGGTGTTCTATGACTTTCCTATGTTTGCAAATCGGCTCTTTCAATGATTACTAAGAAATGCAGCAAAGTGCTTATTCAGTTTTCTTTTTAGTATATCAAGTTATCCAGGCTCTCTTGCTTTTTTTCCATTGTAATATTTACGCCAACCCAAATTCAAATTGTAAATATTTAATTTCAACCAAGTCAGTAAATGTTTGTAGTAAACTGTTAAATAATTATCAAACTTATTGACTGTTTACAATCAACATTATGTTCTTCTTCTCACTTTTAATTTCTGACAACGGCTGGAGTTTCATAACTATTTTTGTTTCCCATGTTAATCTTATGGAGAAATACGAAACTTTAAAGCCTCACTTTATGGCCTCACTTTCTAATTGTTTCCCTAAAAAGAAAGTTTCCTACACAACTTCACGTTACGCTCTTTCCAATAACACCAAAAACATGTCAATCGGTTCAGTAGTTTCGGAGGAGTAATTGTCACAAAAAAACCTGCTTGCGTATTAAATAAGTACCTATATATAGATATTCAGATGTTTGCCGTCGGGGTTGAAAGTATTAGAAGAAAAGAATAAGGTTATGGTTAATTTGTTCAGACGATAAAAGAAGTGAATAAATGAATATTTAATCGGTCTTATGAGGCATTGAAAACTTTGGCAACTAATTAAGAAATATTCTGCAGTTTTAATCGAGAGCTAATTAGCTAAATGTTCTAGGGCTTCCTGAATTGAAAACGGCCAGGAAAGAACAACGAATTGAATTCTTAGAAAGATTTGAAAACCCACAGGTTGAAGAGTAGATTTTCTGAACTAAAATGTAATCTGTAATAGAACTGTAAACAATGAAACCCCGTTTCAACATTGACTTTGACAATTCATTCGAAAACGATTAGGTACTATTTTCTTTAGTGGTAGAGTAATATTTGAATTGTAGTTTGCTTTTGTAAAACATTACCCTCATATTGTTCTCATCAAACATTACAATATCGTTCATATTTCAATTTCACAATCCTTTCTCATGTCCAACTGTGAGGTAGCCTATAGTAATTACTTTGATTCGGGAAATTATATAACCTTCTCTATAAAACCACAGGTCATTGTCGGTATTTAAGACATGGTAGTTCTCAGTTTGCACCCACTTAACTCAGGGGCGGACTGGCAACTACAGACCGCTCATAGTTAATCAGCTGATTCCTCGTACAGCTGTTCGTTGGACAACCAAGTACCTGTACTTCAGTATGATCAACATCAGACCTAGAGACACTTCATAACCACCAAATTACCTGTACTCCATGCGCTGTCATCTCTATTCATTATTCATTGTTTTCAATTCAGCTAGAGATGTAAGAGTAAACAAATAATCTCCTAATTGCAGTATTAAGTTGTACCATTGACTATATACCTACCTGTAGGTGTATAGTCAATGGTGGTACTAATGATTTCTTGTCAGATAAATTAAACAACTAATGGCTATAATGAAATAACTTTACTGAAAGCTGTATTTGCTACACAGGGAAGATGCCAGGATACCTTGCGAAGGAGCTGCCCGGAGATATTTCTCCTGTAACATTCAGGTTTGTGCACGCAAATCACTATTCTTGTTAATATTTATTTTATTGTATTTTTAAATCCTCAATTCTTCTCTCAAAGTTACCAAATAATAAATGTCCTCATTACCATAATCTCGGCCAGGATATGAAGAGATCATGTTGCTTGTTTGTTCTTAAAACAACAGTTATAATGTAAACTGTAATATAAACAATATTATATAACCTAAATATTTCCGTATTTTTTAACCTCAAATTTTGCAAATTATTTTTTAAATTGAAACAAAACTTTATCTTTAATGTCTTTTAAAGTTTTGACTGCTAATATAGTAAACAAATCTACGAGAAAACTTAATACTGTATGACAATGTTTGAAATAGGTAATTGCTCAATTAGTTTTAATCATTGAAAATAGAATTCGCTTTTTACATTTCATTTGCTCCAATCCAATAATGTGTTGTATCTTATATTTTGTTAAAATAGATGTATCCATATTAACAATAAATTTTAATTTCTGGATTCTATAACTTTCAGTATAGAGCAAACATTGTTAATTGTTTTATTCCATTCTTCAATCATTAGATAATCAGATGTGAGATGTGTATTCTAGCTTGTTTATGTTGAATGTAATTTTATTTTTATATAATATGTTTGCTGTTACTTGTCCTGTATTTAATTTAATTTATGTTGGTAACAGCTGATCATGTGTAAATAGTTAGGATTGTTTTTATTGTAATGACAATTGTTGAATAAGTTATGTTTGAGTAAAAATGTTGTGTGTGTGTACTTCAGTAAAATAAAAGATAATTATTGTAACAGTAAAACCTTAGGTGTTAGTAATTTACTTTCACTTAAGTCAACAGGTTATGGGGCCCAGAAAAATTCATTAATTCAACCATAACTGTAAAAACAAGAAGTAATCTTCTAGTAAAACCCCAAGAGTTAAAGTGTAGTGAAGGTGAGTGAAAAAGTAAAAGTAAGACTAACAATGGCATCAGTAAAAGAAGATGATTTCGTAGAAAAACTCAAAGGAGTTGAAACTTTTCCATTGTGGAAATTTCAGATTAAAATAATATTTCAATCCAGTGTTTTGTTGAGTATTGTTGATGGTTCTGAGAAACTTGAAGATATGGGCGATGGAAAGAAGAAGGCTGATTGGATTAAAAGAGATGCCAAGGCTCAGAAGTGTATAGTTAGTTCTATTGAGAAGGGACCGATGTTACATATCATTAACTGTGGAAAACTCAAGAGAAATGTTTTTGAAGCTGTGTAATATTTATGAAAGAGACTCAGAGCAGCAGAAGTACTCGTTATTACAAGAATTCTTTAACCTCAGGTATGAGCCTAATTCTGATATAAGTTCTCACATAAGTAGAATTGAAAACATAGCACACAGACTAAAAACTTTAAAGCAAGATATTGATGACAAAATGGTAATATCCAAAATTCTTGTCAGTCTGCCAGATAGATTTAAGTATTTTGTAACTGCCTGGGAATCAATGCCCAATGAAGAAAAGACATTGGCAAATCTAACAGCGAGACTGTTAGCAGAAGAGTCAAGAAGTGAGTTTAAAGGAGGTAAGCCTAGAGAAAAATCTTGCGTTCCAAGTTGTTTGTCACAACTGTAAAATTCCAGGCCATAAAGCAAAGTACTGCAAGAAGCCTACACATAATAGGGCTAACTTTGATAATGAAAGGCGATGTTTTAAATGCATGCTGTTGGTCATTTAGCAAACACCTGTGGAAATGTAAAAAATTTTGTTAACAAGTATGAAAAAAGAAATGTAAAGCCAAATTTATTTTGTAATATATGTAAAAAGTCAAATCATAATGAAAAAGATTGTTACTTTAGAAAAAGCCAGAACCTAAATGTCGCTAGTAAAACTGTGTCATTTTTGTCGTATGATGAAAATGTTCGGGCTAATAGTGGGACTGTAAACTTTGTATCTGAATGGGTTGTTGATTCAGGCTCATCTTCAAATACGACAAATTGTGAAGATTTGTTAAGTATTAAACGAAATATTTCTTCTGAAATATATGTTGCTAAGAAAAATCAAACCATGTTAGCTTCAACGAGTGGAACTGTAAAATCCAAAGAATGTATCCTGAATAATGTGCTATATGTTCCTGAACTCAGTAAAAACTTGTTGTCTGTTTCTGCAATAACTAATAATGGTGGTGAGGTTACTTTCTCTGAAAATACAACAGAGAATGACCAGAAAGGAGACAAAAATGAAAATGACAAGAAAGAAGACAAAAATGAAAATGACCAGAAAGAAGACGAAAATGAAAATGAAGATATTGAGAGTGCAGATAATCTAAGTGAGATAAGTAATAATGAAGTAGAGTTTGAGTTGGTTTCAGACAAAAATGAAATCAATGAAGAACAGCCAAGTTCAAGTAATACTGATACTACACAAAGCATCAAACTAAGAAGAAAAACTAAACTACCTGAAAGATATAAAGATTTTGTGATGTTGACATATGAAGAAGCAATCAAAGGACCAGATAAAAAGAATTGGCTACAAGCAATTGAGGATGAGAAAAACTCCCTAATTGAGAATGAAACGTGGGAAGTGGTTGACAAGAAGCAAGCACTAAACAAGAAGATCCTAAGTAACAAGTGGGTATTAACAAGAAAGGATAACGGAAAATACAAAGCGAGACTAGTTGTAAGAGGTTTTGCCCAAGAACAAGGTATAGACTATGAAGAAACCTACAGCCCAGTTGTAAGTAATTCAACTCTACGTTTGTTATTTTCATTAGCTGCCAAACAAAATCTCAAACTAATGCAATTTGATGTTAAAACTGCTTTTCTCTATGGAAATTTAGATGAAGAAATTTATATGTGTGTACCTGAAGGGTTTGATCATAAAGATAAAGTTTTGAAATTAAGAAAGACTTTATATGGACTTAAACAAGCTCCATTTAAATGGAACCAGTTGTTTACAAACTGCTTGCTAAAATATGGCTTAAAACAAACTCAGTCTGACCGTTGTGTTTTTACAAATGGCAGTATTCATCTTGCTATATTTGTTGATGATGGAATTCTTGCTGGTTCAGATGAAAGAGAGATGAAGAAACTTTTGAACGAGCTGTCTAGAGATTTTAAAATAAAAACAGACGAAAACCCATCAAACTTTCTTGGAATGGAAATTTTATATTCAAGGGAAGGGATATTGTTAACACAAAAGAACTATTCAAACAGTATTCTCGAAAAATATGGAATGATAGATTGTAAACCTGTAGACACTCCCATTTGTCCAGTGAAATCGAGTAAACCTGATGAAGAAGTGAGCTGCCTGACAAAAGATTATTCTTACAGAGAAGTTGTAGGAAGTTTGCTGTACTTATCCAATAAAACCAGACCTGATCTTACACTTGCTGTGGGATTAGAAAGTAGATGTGTTGAGAATCCAAGCAATGAAGATGTTGTAAATGTCAAACGAACCTTAAGATATATTAAAGGTACTCAAGACGCAGGAATATTATTTTCAGCATCAGGAGAAAATCGCCTAAATGTATATTGTGACGCAGACTATGCAAATTGCAAGCATACAAGAAGAAGTACTACTGGATTTGTCATAATGTATGGAGAAGACCCAATAAGCTGGTGTACAAGAAGACAACCGATTGTAGCTTTGTCCAGCACTGAAGCAGAATACATTGCAGCGGCGGAATGTGTCAAAGAAGTGTTATATTTAAAAACTTTCTTGCAAGAGTTGAGTGGAACTAATGTTGAAACAAACCTAAACATGGACAATCAAAGTGCTATTAAGCTTTGTAAAAATGGAATTTTTAATAAGCGAAGCAAACACATTGATGTTCGCTACCATTTTTTGACTGAAAATGTAAGGCAAGGTAAAATAAACATTTCTTTTGTTTCTACATCCGAGAATGTTGCGGATATGTTTACAAAACCCTTGAAAAATGTCAAGTTTCATCAATTTAGCAAAGCTTTGATCAACTATCCAAAATCTTGAACAGAAGACGACAATCGAGATATTTATTTTTTGTTTCTTATATAAAATTAAAATTAAGGGAAGGTGTTGAATGTAATTTTATTTTTATATAATATGTTTGCTGTTACTTGTCCTGTATTTAATTTAATTTATGTTGGTAACAGCTGATCATGTGTAAATAGTTAGGATTGTTTTTATTGTAATGACAATTGTTGAATAAGTTATGTTTGAGTAAAAATGTTGTGTGTGTGTACTTCAGTAAAATAAAAGATAATTATTGTAACAGTAAAACCTTAGGTGTTAGTAATTTACTTTCACTTAAGTCAACAGTTTAGGCCTTAGATTAAAGTTACTCATATGAGTTCAATCATAGATAAAACATACTCCCTTGGTTCAATCTATAATTTTTGAACTTTAAACTAGTGTCCATAGTGTCATGGATCAATTATCAATTATCAATTATCAATTATTTAAGATGGGGACGCCACTATGTGCGTATTTTAACCCAAATATGAGTGAAGGATGAGTGTAGGATGAGTGGCGCGATCTTGTAGTCTTGTTAGTGACTAAGGTCGACATGTTCCTTAGACACAGCTGTTAATTAATAGCCCATACAGCTAATGGCAACTAAGGGACCTACAGTTTATAGTGGAATCCGAACCACATTTTTTCCTTGTAATTTACGAATTGGTCTAATTATCAGGATAGTACTGCGGATAGTCCTCACTAGTGCGGACGTTAATCCACACCAGGGAACATCGTATCCACAGTGCATCCCTATAAATATCCACAATTCGTGACCTCCTAGTAGCTGGATTACAGGACGACGCCACCCGTCCCAGTCTCCTTACTTAAGGAGTCGGCAATTACTTCTTTAATCAATGTCCTCCTTTAATATACTATAGTACGTATCTCTATACATATAAAAGTGAAATTACACTGACTGACAAAATGATCTCTATCCCACAAAGTATACGGCCAAGAATTTTGGAATAGGAATTTGGAAGAAAATTAGATAGAAATTAGGAAGAAATTTGGTATAGGAAGTCCTTGTATGGTATATGGTGTATAGTCCAGTGCAATTAGGTTATGACCTGGACAAAATTGATAACAGGCTGAAAATTGGTGGAAATGTTCAAAACAATGTCCTGAGTGGCCCACACAAAGTCCCAAGAAATCCCAGTTGGGGAACGGTCGCCATTTTGAAAAAACTGCCGCCATCTTGAAAACTTAGATTTCTTGCTGTATCTTTTGAAGTAATTGTCTGAAAGACCTTATTTATGTCTCAAATTAAACGTTTTGGGCTCATGTATGAGAGTAATATATAATTAAAGAGTTTATTATGTTCTAAGCATAAATTTTATTTATATTAACCTAAAAAATATCTATAATAATGATATAGATACGGTTATGTCCCCCCTTTTATACGAATTGTGGATATGTATAGGCATGCAAGGTGGATGCGATGCTCCCTGGTGTGGATTAACGTCCGCACTAGTGAGTACTATGACTATCCGCAGTACTATCCTGATAATTACACCAATTCGTTAATTACAAGGAAAAAATGTGGTTCGGATTCCACTATAAACTGTAGGTCCCTTAGTTGCCATTAGCTGTATGGGCTATTAATTAACATCTGTGTCTAAGGAACATGCCGGCCTTAGTCACTAACAAGACTAATCGCGCCACTCATCCTACTTTCATCCTTCACTCATATTTGGTTAAAATACGCACATTGCTGCAGCTCGACCACGATCTTTCATATTGCCCCTGCTGCTCGATCTTTATCATAGACGGTATGACTCGAAGTTGCTGTTAGACATTCTATCGTAGCTCGGAGTTTGCTCGACATACAAGAAGGTCAATTATGAGACTTCGATAGCTGATAATGTATCACCTTCAATAGATGACGGAGCTTACTTTCATTATGTTTTCGACAACGCGGATCACAACGTTAAAACACTTGATGGACATGGTACTCTTCACGCCATGGGTGGCATTGAGTGCATAACACTAGCCGAAATGTGTCAATGCAAGTGCTCCTGTACCACGATCTACAATCCCAAAAGCAAAAAGTGTTCTTCTATCTCATGGCTTTCAGCCAGTGACACCTTACCAACGTCCGCCAAAGCCTGGGACATCTTTAGTAGTGTTGGGAGATGCCCTTTCTGAACCAAAAATAGTTGTAGATGCTTGTCTTGCGGACACCCTATGGCTCATTAACCACCAACTGAGTGACAAACCAAGTCAGTCCAAGTTGAAATGGATTCATGGATACAGTACAACGACCCTTATGGTCTTAATTGTACCACGATGCATGGCTACTGCACTGGACACGGATGTGCCAACCGCACTAGTTACAACGAAGATTACATCACCGACAATATTATTTAACAGCGAGTTGTTACATTATAAGTTTATATACAATATTAAAATATAATGGTAATCAATTATAGCAACTATATCTAGATGATTTTATTTTTCAGATAGGAACAAAAGAAATTATTAATTGCTTTTTAAAAATTTATTTTGTACTTCATTGTTAAATATTTGCTTTCCTAGTCAAGATTATATTTCCTGTTACCGAAGTTGCTCTGCTCCTGCCAAAGATTTAAGTTAGTTAAGCTTTCTGTTAAAATGCATGTTGTTACCACTTAGGCTTCTTGAATCCACATTGTAAATTGGTGATCTTCCCGTTGGAATAAACAAAACAAATTACAGCATTTAGGTGAATAAAAAGTCAATACCACCCTTCTATAATATTTTCTAAGTGAATATACAGAGATGTCCTTTTTGGTGGTCGTCCAATCTTAGCAGGGAGTTTCATTTTATGATTTTGAAATTTTTAAATGTTCCCCAAAAAGTGGGGATTTTGGGGGCAACTAAACAATTTTAAACGTAAACCCCCTTCAAGTGACATCTCATTTTAATGTGTTTACAAAAACTTTATGAATGGTGAAAACCAGAGTTTGCTATTTCATATTTATCAAAAATGGTAGCCCATCAAACGTGATGGAAAATCAATGGTAATATTGGTTCGTAATTATTGTTATATTGGCAACCATTTTGGACAGAGGAGAATACTCAAAGATTTTAAAATCATAAAATGAAACTTCCTGCTAAGGTTGCATCACCACCAAAAGGATTACTCTGTAATATTTAGTTAGGAACAAATTAGAGGGGGGGGGGAATTACTTGTTACTACACAAGAAAATTAATGTAACAATATCGTCATTAAACTTTTGACGGGCTACCATTTTGGATAGAGAAGATATAGCGAACTCTGGATTTCACCATTCTTTAAGTTTTTGTAAACACTTCAAGATGAGGTGTCACTTGAATAGGAGTTACTTTAACATTTTTGAGTTGCCCTCTTTTTCCCCCTCTTTTTGGGGGACACTCAAAATCATCAAATGAAACTTCCTACTAAGATTGCAACACCACAAAGAGGATATTTCTGTATATTTACTTAGAAAAATATTAGAGGGGGGGGGGGGTCTTGACTTTTATTCACCCCTTATTTAACCAATTCCAAAGACTAAACATAGTGAATTGCAAGAAATGTCAAAAGGGTTTATGGCTTTAACAAGTCCATTAAGGATAAAAGAGAAAAAGCTTCATTTTGTAAATATTTTGTAAATTAATATCATTTTTATAGATATATTTTTAGGTTAATATAAATAATATTTATGCTTAGAACGTATTAAACTCTTTAATTATATACTACCCTCATACATGAGTTCAAAACGCTTAATTTAAGACATAAATAATGCCTTTCGGACTATTACTTCAAAAGATACAGCAAAAAATCTAAATTTCCAAGATGGCGACAGTTTTTTCAAGATGGCGGCCGTTCCCCAACTGGGATTTCTTGGGACTTTGTGTGGGCCACTCAGGACATTGTTCTGAACGTTTCCACCAATTATCAGCCTGTTATCAATTTTGTCCGGGTCAAGGTCATTTTTTGTCTAATTGCACTGGACTAGTAGATAGGTAATAAGACGGAGTTTTAACAAATGTTTAGGGGGTTTATGGAGGGTAAAGTAAATTCTGGTAAAAATCTACCATGTATGGCCTAACCTTTTATATTTTGGTCTGTATACGCTGAACAAATGCTTGGATCTTAAATCTGATTGGATGTGCAGAACTAAATAACTTAAGTATTTACCGGACTGTTCGTGACCGGAATGTAATTTTGATACAACGGTTGGAATAGTTACTAGCCTCGTGGACGAGACTAAATCTCCTGTTGAGGTTATGTTCGGTACACATTTAGACAGCTCGTCCAACAGAGTTTTTACTGTTTTAATAAAATATATGAGAAATATGTTCGTGACCGAACTGTAACTTAATTTAGGTACGGTGTGGTTCTTACCTAATGTTTCACTTATAACTTCGTAATTTAAAGTTCTTCTGGATAACAAATAACTTGTCGGTTTGCCACACACAATATACGTCAGACTGCAAGCAAGCAACGCTGTTGCTGTTTCCGCCAAAACATCGTTTGGGAACGGGCTGGAACGATCATTTTGACATATCCATACTCAGTGGTCTTTGGAGACAGATGTTTTACGCCGAAAAAAAATATTCTAACCACTTGTTGGATTAATCTGATGATGAAATTGCAGAATACACAATATGTATAACCTATACTGATACGTGTAGACTGTTTATTTTATTTTACCCAACTTTGAGATCACATCAAATGTAAAATTAGTGACCGGAGACGCGTGACCGGTCTGTAAATATGCGTTTGTAACCTATAAAACCATCACATTATGCACGTCGGCATTAAAATTAAAGGATATATATATTAGGAAATTAGGTAAGGAAATAGACATACACATTTGTTTACTTTTTTATTCATTTTTTATTCTTGTTTTTTACCTGAGACATTATCCTATTACGTGACAATGACCCAAAGTTACTTTCTCAAATGGTTTACGAGTTAAATCAGTCTAAAAGTTCAGCTTATACACTCCAAAATATAAAGGCTGACAATGTCAAATTTCACTGGGAATAGCTCCCCCCCCCTCCCGATAAATTTAGAAATTTGTAAAACCCGTCTTAATGTACATCTACATCATACAGGGTAGATATTTTGTGAGATACAGTGATCATCTGTAAGTCAGTGGTATTTGTCTTTCATAAGTAGGCCTATGGATATTCGTAAATTTGTTATTTACTTGTCAAAGTAGGATATAGTAATACTGAAGAAAATGAAAAAAAATCATTCAGTGCATCTTTTAAATAAGCTACGGGATCTAATATTTTTGCCAGTCTTAGGTAGTTTATCCTATAGATGATTTGTTGCTCCAGCAATAAAATTCATTTACATTTTCAATGTGTAATTCTTGGCACAAGTGTTGTCTTGGCAAAATGGCATCATAACTTTCTACCTATATTTGTTTTTACAACTTTTTTTATTTAAGGACTGTCCAGAAGGCTCAGTGGACTTCCGAGCAGAGCAGTGCGCTGCATTCAACAATGTTCCTTTCGATGATGTTTATTATTCGTAAGTGTAACTTTAATGTTACAATGTAAGTTTTCTCTTCTTACAGTTTATTGTACATTAACATTGCTTGTCTTGTAGTAAAAGTAATCACTATCTCTAATTTTGAAGCAGCCAAGTAACTGTAGGCTATATATATTTATATAAAACAATACTATATGCATATTTAAAGCTGAATAAGAATGCAAGATGATTTGTAAAATTGTTGACTTTTTTATACTGAAGTGACATCCTTTCCATGGACCAACTGTTACTAACTTTTTATTAAAAAAGAACGTGGAGTAAACTAGTCAGATTCGTGAGTGTGTATGTCTAAATTCTATTTTCTACCATACCATAATTTTTTGTTACGGTATTGAGATAGTTGATGTGACATTATACATACTATAGCTTACAATAAGTCATCTTATCATTTTCACTTGGTTGAAGACCGCATATGTGACAGAAATCAGTAATTTTCATCAGCGCAAATAATTTATGTGGTTCTACGCCCTTTTTGGTAAAATAACTGGCAACAACTATAACATGGGGATGGAATGTCTAGTTCTATCTATAGTGAAACATAGAACATAGTGAGTTGATCCAAGGCCCCACTAGGAAAGAAGACCATGCTGCAGCGCAACACTACGTAATAAATAATGGCTGTTTGCCGTAGAAATAAAATAAGTAAATAAATAAAAATGAATAGTTTTATTAAAGTTGCCAGACGTAAATAAAAATTGTAAACAGCTTATTTACCTAAAACATATGGGATATGGCAGGGAATCTATCCACAAGTGTGACGTCATGGATCCTGCAGCATGGCCTTAAATTCTAGTGGGGCCTTGGTTGATCTGTGAAGCTTTGTAACTCAGCTGTTTCCTGTTTCTTTAGCCAGCCAGGACCATCTATTTATAGCTCAATGATCAAGGACAGGTAGACCCAGTTTAGAACTATCAAAAAGCTTTAAACCATCTTACTGTAAGTTGTAATATCAACTAGATGACTGCAGTGTTACTGTAACAGGTGGATTCCATATACTAAGGCTCCCAACAAATGTGAGCTCAACTGCATGCCGCGAGGAGAGCGCTTTTACTACAGACATAAGGACAAGGTAGCGGACGGCACACGCTGCGACGAGGAGAAGCTGGATGTCTGCGTCGACGGCAAATGTTTGGTACAGTATTCACATGTTAATCAGGTTGTAGCACTTAACTTAACATTTTCCTAAAATCACATTTTTTTATATTTTAAATGTAATATTAATTTTTATCAAAAACACTATTACGAAAATTGACAAGGATTCAGGATGGTAGACAGGCATGTAGGTGCTCAACTTAGGCTGAATATGAATACAAGTTGAGTAGAATAGAGGAGATGATCTGTGTAGATTTGTTACTATCTAAGTTCTTCTTCTTTGGCCTCTGCGGTGGATATGATGGAGGGGGGGGGGGTGTGTGGTTGTAAATGGATGAATACTGACGCTGAGCGCCACAGGCCAAGACCATTTTTATGAGCCCAATTATTACCAATGACAGCTGGGTCCAGTTTCAAACCTTTCAAAAATATACTGACTCTTCTCTGGATTAAACCCGCAACCTTTTGACTGTAAGCCGAGCACCGTAACCATAAAGCCTTTTCCAGAAAGGCCTTCTTTGTAATCATACTGAAGGGGCCTCAGTTAATTGTTGCCTGTGTTTTTGAGAAGGTAAGATGTTTGTTTCGCCCTATGTAGTTGAGTCGAGCCACCCAGAGCATATGTTGATGTCAATTAATTACTAACTTCTGACAAAATGTGCAAACTTTTTATCTGACCCAAACTGAAAGAACAACTTACTGCATACTGTAGACTTTAGAACACATAATATGTTATATAAACTATTATAGTACCTATCAACAACTGTGGAAGAAAATAGAATTTCTATCATGAGTAGCTCGTTCAACCACAATCTATTTAAATAAATAACTGTTTACAGCTTGCGACGATATTTTCTGCACTGGGAAAATAAATATTAAAAGTGCAGTCAGTCGCAACCGTTTGCCGGGGATAGCTCAGCCGACAATGGCTGGGTAAAGTTCCAGGGTCTGCGATAAGGTCAGGGAAACCACTAGGCCAATAGCCGGGTCTAACCGGTATAGGACTGGCTCATACACGGGCACTGTGAACAAGTCAAAAACAAGTCACCACAACAAACGTGCAATAATCACCACCAGGCCTACGCCGATTCTCCACACTCCTAGGGGGTCGTTGCTGACTACGCAACTCGGGCTTCGTCCTAACTATCCAATAGTTAAGCCCAGAGTGCCTAAAACACGGTGAGTTACACGACGACTTGCCAATAAAAACCACAACGCGTGTTATCACCAGGCGGGGTCTACTAGGCCACTATAATCCAATACACAACTCTAATGCCCAAGCTAAGAATCAAACAGTTCACTCAATAATCGTACCGCATAATAATATACAAGTACACTATAGGTGGAGTGACTACACCGCTAGTAGCTGGTCTCAATAAATACCAAGCTAAACAAGCAAAACTAAATGGCAATTGCACTATTAAAATTATTGAGCAACTTAGTAGCAGATGAATAAATATTAAATACGTTCCAAACACTAGATAAATATATTACCTGATAGCCGGTACTCCGCTATCCAAGCTACCAAGCTAACGTGTTGGATTACTAAGCAAGCTGTTCAGGTTAAATTAAAATAATCAAATGAGTAAACAATAACAACCCTACTACTGCTACTGCTACTACCAACTTTGTGTTACTTAGCTGGGCTTCTGTTAATAGGCTAATAATATCAGCTAGAGATATAAAGTCAATGCTACTAGCCTACTGGCCACGTGTTTCCAACTACGCACGCTAAATCGTGCAGCCTAGGTTTGTCGGGCCTCAGAGTTATTAGTAATATAACTAACTCCTGGTACAACGCAAAATAATAACTACTACAGACAATAAATTATATTATTTGCGCTCTAGCACCTGCCCAGAACCGTCAGGAATATACTTTTATATTATTCCTGACTAATATAAATCCTAACTACCGTCAGGCTTTGACCAGCACAGTTACAACTCTAACTCTCGCAATAAAACCAGATATTAATATTATCAAACGAATAATATCAAGTCGTCCACTCACCACAAGTGGGTCAGTACCCAACTTACACCAACACTCGGCGCGATCACACCACCAACGTTCTCCGACACCACTGTCCACCAGTCTCACCAGTAACACCAACGTACTCCAGTTCCAGTACACCCGTCGTCTCACCCGACACACACTCGCTCTTCACTGCCCGGGATCCACCACTAGAATGTCCTTCTCCTATACTGTCCTGAAGATCTAGGATATCCCAGGCTTATCGGAACTGATAAGCCGGGTCAAAGGGCGCTAGGTAGCTTCGCCGCCGCCGCCTGCCTACCTCAACAACCGGTGCGCGGCCAAATAGCGAAAATTTACCCCCCTAGGAAAAATAACTCGTTACATCCCCCACTTACATCGGGATGAAAAAAAAGAAAACGGCCAAAAAGAAAAAAAAAATATTCGAACTCCGGCCAAAACAAAATACTCTAACCCCTAACCCAATGGTGAATCCTACACCACAGGTCTCAAACTTAAAACAAAGAAAAACTCTTCTACTCGCCACTACCAGCCAACGTGGTGCTGAATGATTTGTCATCAGGAACCAGACGGGGATTTCCATTGCAAGGGCCTTCGGGGTCTTCGTCACCAATTTTGACACTGTCTTTGCGGCCACCTTGGCCAGAACAGTCATCACCCACGCCCATTCTAACTACCTCTGTCCCACATGTCACCAATCCGAGGTTTCGGATGACATCCATACCCAGAATCATGTCTGTGGTGAGAGTGGGGACGTACAAGGCATCTCCCATCCACCGTCTTCCCGCAGCTTCTCCTGCTAGCCGAAACGAATATTCGGCCGTTGACCGTGTCCCATCTGCCATCCTCAGAGGAGCGATTTGCTTACACAGCTCTACACCCTGGTGCTGAAGATGGTTGGTGACTCCTCGCCCAACCAAGCTAACTACGGAGCCAGTGTCCAATAATGCCTTAAAAACGCTGCCCATCAGCACAACTTCCACAAAGGGCATTGACTCCGAAATCAGCTGGTCCTCCTCCACTCCACCAACCAAGCTGTTCAGTTTTCCGAGCCACTCGGACCACTCTTCTGAGGTCGTTCGTTTCGGGTGGCCTCGCTCAGTTGACCTCCTGATGTCTGAGCTGGCCTGCCGTTTCCCGCACGACATCCACACTGGTTCACAGTAAAACCAGGTTTCCCACATCCAAAACAGGAGACGGTCCTCAGTTTGCCACAGCCTCTGGCAAAGTGACCAATCTCCTGGCACCTAAAACAACGCACATCCTTTGCACCATCTGCAACTTCCCTAGTCATTACGGGCCTTTGTTCACGGACCCGGTTAGAGTCAAAATCTACTCGCCGCCCAATCGACTTGGCCTCAAGAGATGGTCTCTGAAAATTATGTTTTTCAACCGCGGCCGTTTAAAAACACTTCTCAGCCTTCTTCTTGGGAACATAGGCGGTTTCCAAAACCAGCGCTACGTTTGGTGAAGGAGGAGGTCGGAAGGCCGCCTTCTCTCGCAGATAGGCCTCGTAGTCTTCGGCTAACTCAACCATCTCGGCCAGATTGCGGAAGTCCCGCCGTCGCACCATGAGTTTGTACTCAGGTCGCATGTTGTTGTAGATCAAGTTCAATCTACCATGCTCTGACAACGTACCGCTACGCCTAAGCAAGGTACTTATGGCAACAACGTAGTCCCGGAAGTGCTCGCCTTCACCCTGTGTCCTTTTCCGGATCTCCTCATCCAAGTTCCTCCAATATCCTGGTGGGAAGAACTGGATTTCAAACTGACGCCGGAAAGCTTCAAAGGAATACAGGAGCTCCTTGCAATTCCTGTACCATAGAAGCGCTGAGCCTTGCAACAGCTCCGGCAGCGCTCTGAGCAGGTCCTCTGATTTTATAGAGTACGAGACCATCAGCTCTTCAAGGCGCTCCAGGAACGACACAGGGTCTCGTCGGCCATCAAACCTTAAACCCCACTTCCGTACCGTGTTGCATACTTTGGAGCAATCCTTTGGCTCCACCCTGCTGGCCCCATTCGAGAGCATATCCGATCCACGTGGCACCTCAACACTAGAAGGACGGACTGGTCTCTCTGAATGATCACTAGGTCGTTGCCATCCCTCGGGTCTACTTGGTAACCCAAAGGTAGGCATGGGAGCAGCCACAACAGGGGACATAGGGTTGGCGGGTCTTTCGAACCCATAGCCGACCTCATTACTCGGCGAGGCTCTTGCCTGTCGCACCACCGATGCCAGATGTTCTCGAAGAGTCCGGGTATCAGTCTCCAAAGACAACCCAAGAATCTCTTTGACCGCCTCCAACTCCCTGCTAAGTCCCACTATCTCTATTTGGCCCGAATCAGTACTACCCAGTACCTGAGGTACGGTTCTCGGGGGGTCAGAAAGTCCCATAGTGGTAATAGCCGGCGGTAAATATGTCGGTGCAGCAGCCCCAGCCATCGTACACAGCCTATCATCGCTGTACCGGCGGGCATTCCGCTGCTTCCAAAACGACGAGAATCTCTGCCGTAATTCCGCAGAAGTACCAGTGGTCACCAAACCATACTGGTCCATCGTCCTTATGAGCTCCCCTTTCGAGAGGTCATATATCCAACCCACGCGACCGTCCCGGGGCTGCGACCCCAAGGACATAGTCGCTGGCGCGGAATAAGTCAGAGACGTTGTCACCGTCGTACCCACGACCGATGAAATAGTCGGCCAAACAGGCGAAGACGCAGGCCACAATGACGACGTCGTCATCACCGACAGTTCGGAGCTAACCCCAGAACTAGTTGTAACAATAGCAGACGTGATAGGCGTACCGCCTAGCACAGACGTCGTACTCGTAGTGACAACCATATTTAAAATTCAAAACACCACGACAAATCCGGAAAAATAAGGGCGTAACCAATTAAAATCTATTTAACACCGTACTATTAAATCAAACCAATTATAGGTGTGAAAGTCAAACCACAAATGCACAGTAAGGGTTCTCACTCAAATAATATTCAACACTAAAGCTCAATTAATTAGTAAAACAATATTAGTAACTAATATCTATGTATACAACCACTAAATAAATTAGGGTTCACAACACACCACGCTGTAACAGAAAACAGGTTAGGCCTACCCAACCGACTATAAAATCACAGCAGGTCTGCCTAAAACTCTGCTCAACAGCTCAGGTCCGCAGCCAATCTGCACAAGTCCGCAGCAAATCTGCACAAATAAAATTATTTTGTTCGGGCGCCGTTAATACGTCAGCAACTCAGCACCACTGCCAACCTCAATCCCTGTTCGCAGGCGCCATCTTGCGACGATATTTTCTGCGCTGGAAAAAAAAATATTAAAAGTGCAGTCAGTCGCAACCGTTTGCCGGGGATAGCTCAGCCGACAATGGCTGGGTAAAGTTCCAGGGTCTGCGATAAGGTCAGGGAAACCACTAGGCCAATAGCCGGGTCTAACCGGTATAGGACTGGCTCATACACGGGCACTGTGAACAAGTCAAAAACAAGTCACCACAACAAACGTGCAATAATCACCACCAGGCCTACGCCGATTCTCCACACTCCTAGGGGGTCGTTGCTGACTACGCAACTCGGGCTTCGTCCTAACTATCCAATAGTTAAGCCCAGAGTGCCTAAAACACGGTGAGTTACACGACGACTTGCCAATAAAAACCACAACGCGTGTTATCACCAGGCGGGGTCTACTAGGCCACTATAATCCAATACACAACTCTAATGCCCAAGCTAAGAATCAAACAGTTCACTCAATAATCGTACCGCATAATAATATACAAGTACACTATAGGTGGAGTGACTACACCGCTAGTAGCTGGTCTCAATAAATACCAAGCTAAACAAGCAAAACTAAATGGCAATTGCACTATTAAAATTATTGAGCAACTTAGTAGCAGATGAATAAATATTAAATACGTTCCAAACACTAGATAAATATATTACCTGATAGCCGGTACTCCGCTATCCAAGCTACCAAGCTAACGTGTTGGATTACTAAGCAAGCTGTTCAGGTTAAATTAAAATAATCAAATGAGTAAACAATAACAACCCTACTACTGCTACTGCTACTACCAACTTTGTGTTACTTAGCTGGGCTTCTGTTAATAGGCTAATAATATCAGCTAGAGATATAAAGTCAATGCTACTAGCCTACTGGCCACGTGTTTCCAACTACGCACGCTAAATCGTGCAGCCTAGGTTTGTCGGGCCTCAGAGTTATTAGTAATATAACTAACTCCTGGTACAACGCAAAATAATAACTACTACAGACAATAAATTATATTATTTGCGCTCTAGCACCTGCCCAGAACCGTCAGGAATATACTTTTATATTATTCCTGACTAATATAAATCCTAACTACCGTCAGGCTTTGACCAGCACAGTTACAACTCTAACTCTCGCAATAAAACCAGATATTAATATTATCAAACGAATAATATCAAGTCGTCCACTCACCACAAGTGGGTCAGTACCCAACTTACACCAACACTCGGCGCGATCACACCACCAACGTTCTCCGACACCACTGTCCACCAGTCTCACCAGTAACACCAACGTACTCCAGTTCCAGTACACCCGTCGTCTCACCCGACACACACTCGCTCTTCACTGCCCGGGATCCACCACTAGAATGTCCTTCTCCTATACTGTCCTGAAGATCTAGGATATCCCAGGCTTATCGGAACTGATAAGCCGGGTCAAAGGGCGCTAGGTAGCTTCGCCGCCGCCGCCTGCCTACCTCAACAACCGGTGCGCGGCCAAATAGCGAAAATTTACCCCCCTAGGAAAAATAACTCGTTACAAGCTGGTCTATATAAATGGGATGGCTATCCTGGTATCTTGAAGTCATGGTACTAGGGTTGAATGTGTTTAAAATATTGACATAACTCCATGTTCCAGCCAGTGGGGTGTGACAAGTTGCTGGGGTCGGTGGCCAGGGAGGACCAGTGTAGAGAGTGTGGAGGTGACGGCAGTAGCTGTAACACTGTGAGGCGACTACTGGACATGGACGACCTGCAAGTTGGTATGTGAAAACAATCTCTTTGTATACTTTATTACTCAAGTTAAAATACAAAGGAGCTTCGATCATCCAAACAGGTCTTTCTTAATAGTGGTTTCTGAATAGGTCTATAAGATAGTTTTCGACTCCTTATTACTAAATAGAACTTTGAAATCAGTTTTCTCAAAACGTTTATTTTCATGACTTTGATCCCTTTTCCTGTGCCATTAAATGTTTATTTTGAATTTTCAAACATAACATTCATAATTTTAATATAGTAGTTGTTATAGTTTTTCCTGTGTGTTTTGACATTGCCGTGCCCAGTTTAGCCAGAATTATTGAGTCTCTACTGTTTAACCTTGTTACATACCATATGAGGCCAAATGCCAGTTGTCAATTATAACTTTGTTAGGCATTTTTTGTTTGCATCAAAATATCAAGTAGTTTTTTTTTAACAGATAAAATAATTAGTTTGGTGAGCTATAATCAGTGTATAGTATGATATTAAGACTAATGTGTTTTTATCAGGATACAACGATCTTCTTCTCATCCCAGCTGGAGCAACCAACATTCGAATACAGGAGACTAAACCTTCTAACAACTATCTAGGTAAAATACAAAGTATTTTACTGTATTTATGCTTTAATCAATATTGGGATAAAAATTTCACATATTAACTCATTTGCATCGGATGACGTACCAGTACGTCAAGTCTGTGATGTACAGTATACTATAGTATTACACATCTAACATAGCCATAATGTTCCACAACTTCACATAAACAGAAGAGAAAAGTCAATTATTAAAAACTAGTGTACCTTTTGCTCGAATTCGAGCAATTGCGAAGCATTACAGGCGTTATTTTAAAACGAATAACGGTCATAATTTCCGATGACTTTATAAAAGTCGACTCAAAGATTATGGAAATACTCACGATGTACACAACAGTTAGATATAATTAAAATTGTTTGTAAATATCTTATCTATTTTCAAAAGCTGATCTTGTTTTTTAGAGTTGTCTACAAAATGTTTCCCACTCATAGCCGTATTAGGTTCTCTATAATAACGATTATAAATTAAGAAAAAAAAACATTATTTCTATTTCTTCTACTTGGTTGTGTTCTATGACTTTCTTATGTTTCCATTGTTTGCAAATCGGCTCTTTCAATGATTGCTCAAGAAATGTAGCACAGTGTTAATTCAGTTTATATTTAGTAGGCCTATATCAAATTGTCCAGGATTTCTCGCTTTTTTCCATTGTAATAGTTACACCAACCCAAGTATCGTCTACAGATGCAATACGCCAAAGAATATCATCTACGTGCAACACGCCTACGTACAATCTCCAAGAAGTGGTAAAAAAGGCAGAAACCAACCCATACAATAGACATAAGTTAACTCCATAAGAAATAATTTTAAGAGTTACTGTTATATTAGGATTTTCCACTGATTTGGTAATAGAACATTGCAAAACATGACACGATGCAGAAGAAAATTGATTTTAAAATCAGAAAAAAAAAACCATTGCAAATACTTCATTTTGAGAAATTCAGTAAATCACAATTTAAGTATTAACAGCTGTTTCATTAAAAAGTATTGTAAAATCATACATATGGTCATATTGTAAACAAATCTGCTGAGGGGACTTTAAAAGCCTCTGGGGCAGAGCCCCAAGGGAATTTACCTCGTTTCTCTTTTGATGGCTCATCTACAGACCAAGACCTTTCTTTAGAGACCCCTACCAAGTTTTTCCGCCCAGCCGTTCTCTGAAATTAGCTGTGACAAAAAACCCGTTTCCACCCCATAAGAATAACATGGGATGGGAATTTAAAGGCCACTGGGGAAGAGCCCCAAGGGAATTTACCACGTTTCTCTTTTGATGGCTCATCTACAGACCAAGCCTTTTCTTTAGACACCTCTACCGAATTGTTCTATGCCCAGCCGTTTTCTCAAATTAGCTGTCACAAAGAAAAACAGTTTCAAATTATTAATATTTAGATTCACAAAATATCAAAAATTATTCATGAAATTCAAAACATAAACATAACTGTAAACAATCCTTCTTTGACAGTTCTCATTGCATATCACAGTTTTTTGTTGCTGCTTATTTAAAATTAGCTGTTTTCATAAATGCAAAAGAAATTATTGTGCTGAACCCTGTTGGTAAATCTTATAACTTTTAATGCTTTTGCAAATCATAGAACCAACTTTTTAGTTGAAACAGCTGACTAAATTCTTTAATTCCCTTTAAATATGAATACTCATAATGTTAACATGGGGAACTACAGAGCCACGGGGGCGGAGCCCAAAAGGATTTTTCAGATAAGAATATGCCTATATGTTAATCGGGAATGTGAGCTATCATCATGCCAAATTTCAGCCCAATCCCATTAGTTTATGCGTGATTAAACTTCAAACAAACACACAAACTTTCACATTTATAATATTAGTAAGATATACCAATATTTAAATTTGTTCTAAAAATATTATATTCTTTCAATGATTTGATAATTACGTAATACAGGTAAGGTTAAAAAATTCAAACTTATTTTTTCCTTAGGTAGACTAAAACATAATATTCCTATTGAAAATTGAAAATTAATTTTATTTGAACAAATTTTAGATGTTAGTCTCTACAAATCAAAAAGTCTTTACAAATACTGAAGTGGCAATACGTTAGTTATAGACCTACTGTATTACCATTCTTATAGTAGCTATATTTTGTAAAATTTAAGAGCAGTGTCTGTCTAGTAGTTTTTACTACGATGAATAACACACATATACAGGCCCACTTTTATAAATGAGCAGACTGGGCATATGCCCAGGGGCGCCAGTGGTTGGGGGGCGCCTGAGGGCTCTGAACCACCGCCCGCACTAGGAAAAATAGGGTTTTATCAGCCGGGATTTCAAAAATAAAATGGGTGATTTCAACTTTTAATTAAGTGATTTTCTCTTATTGAAAAAGTAAATAAATACAACAAAATTTAAAATACTCGACCTTCAGGTTATATACCTCGTGTAGTCAGGGAAAGGCAGGCAGCAGTGTGAACCGGGCACACTCACTATACTATCAGAGGCAGGGAGAGGGAGGCCTGCATGGTGGAAGGAAATACATATAGGTGTGCTATTCCCGTCATATGCTGACGCCACTCAGATTGCAAACACCATTTTACCATTGAGAAAAATTATAAAAACAATAACAATCAAATCAAAACAAATATATACTTATATGGCAATACATCAGCTGATTTTTTTGCAATTTGGGTGACGTCAGCAAATCACGGGAATAGCACGTAGGCCAGCTGTAGTCTACAGGCCTACGGTTGATGTGCCCCTCCTCTCTCTCCCAGTCCCACCCCTATCCCCACAAGTCACAACTACCAACTACCGCGCGGCGCGGTAGTTGGTAGTTGGGATAGGGGTGGGACTGGGAGCCCGCGCGGCGCCAGTCCAGTACAGTAGTACCATTACAGTATTTGCTATATTTTGTAAAATTTAAGAGCAGTGTCTGTCTAGTAGTTTTTACTACGATGAATAACACACATATATATACAGACACCATGAGATTGTTATATAATAGTATAGATTGATTATCAAATTAACAAAGGAAATATGTAAAGTCAATCTATTTCCACATTCATCGTACTTACAATAGGCCTACAATAAATGCAACCAAAAACATTATGTTTGTATATTTTTTTGTTTTAGACATATTGTGGTATGTTGCAATTTTTCACTTAAATAAACAACCTATATTCTAATTAGCCTATTTTACCATACCCTAAAATCCACCAAATGTAATTTAAATACTTTCATTCATTGATACAGAGCAGCAATACTCTCATTGATGTTTATAGTCTAGTACGAGTGCCGGACCCAGGCGGCGGGTGAGTGCGGCGTTGCCAGTTTGAACGTCGCGGCCTTGTATTAAAGGTGGCTGTGTATAAACTGTTTCTTGTGCATAGAGTTACTAAATTTGAGTTTTGAGACATTACATTTAGCCCGTTTTTTTTAAACATTTTGTCTTAGTGAACCAACTATTTGATCGCCATGAAAAAGGTAGCACCATTTGATATAAAACACTATAAAATATTTATTTACATTTGCTTTTATAACTATATATATTCATGTAGGGGAATAAAATTTACTTTAATTTTATATAGCTGATATTTGGGTTTTATGTGTTGAAAAATAATGTAGGTAGCCTACATGTTTGAGTTTAAAAAAATTGAAAATTTATAGTACCTAATGATCAATGATCATTTTCCATTAACAACTCTTACTTCGTTTGATCTCCAATGTTATTGCCTTTACAAAAATGTGTACTTTTACTACATTTCTTGAGAACACATTTATTTTTATTTGTTTGAGATTTGTAGAAATTTGTTGAAACAACTGCCTTGTCAAGTTAATCATAACCAGGGAACCTACCTCTCTAACATTATTTATCACATTCCATCCAAGAAAAGTAGAAAGAACACTGTGGAATGGGAAAGAAAGAGTGGTATAGTACATAGGGTGGGGGGGGGGGGGGTTTGATGAGGGAAAGTGGGTTGAGATAGTTATGGGGTCGAAGAGTGTGGGTATTTGCTGAGTAATATTAAAATCAGACCAAAAGCTTGAATTTTTTGAAATTGAGAAATATAACCAATTTTCAATGCGCTCTAGCAGAAGTTATTACTAATCGACTTTCAAGTGTGAATAGTGCATTTTAAGGAAATTTTGTCAACTTCCATTTTGTATAGGGGTAAAAGTCGCTAGAGTTCATAGTTTTCAACTTATTATATAAAAACTGAAAAAAGTGCTAAAATGTTGCTATTTTTTGCGGATATCTCAAAACACTCACGAAATATTTGTTGGACAACTTCAGATTCGGATTCAGCGACTCAAAAGACATAAATTTCAGACAAAATTCGTTGAACTCCATTTTTGTCCACGTTGGATACGGATTGACTGTACTAATAGTAATGTTTTTTAAAATAAAATTAATAGCTCATAAAATTTAAATAAACTTCATATAGGTACAAGATTATCTGTGTTCATATAGAAAACTATCAGTGTCGATTTACAAGACCAGCTATGTCCATATACATTATACAAGACTGCCCATGTACAAGACTGTCCATGTACAAGACTATCAGTGTCCATGTACAAGACTATCTGTGTCCATGTACAAGACTATCAGTGTCGATATATAAGACTGTCGGTGCCCATACAGGGTGAATAAAAAGTCAAGACTGCCCCATCCTAATATTTTTCTGAGTAAATATACTGAGACACCCTTTTGTTGGTCATGCAACTTAGCAGGTTTCATTTTATAATAAGAAGATTATGATAAGAACAAATCAATGTAATGGTAGGCTAATATTGGCTACTATTTTGGATAGAGAAGAAATAGGCAACTCTGTTTTTCACCATTCTTTAGTCTAGCCAAAGAATTTATAGACGTCAACATATTCTGAGACATTGACATTGCCATAAGCTATATTATTCTTATATCTTATTACATCAACCTTGAAACATTACCAATTTAATTCTAAACAGTAAATACCCCGCTGCAGCAAACCTGCCGACTAAGCAAATTCCCATTTGCCTGGATTGATCTTCAATTAATCTATTAAATTAACATTTATGTTTAACGAGTACCTAGGTTAGCTACTACAGGGAAACTAAAGTGGGTTTTTTATTAAAATATCAATAGCTTAGTATGAAATAAATAAATCCGCCAAGTTTGATCAAAATATATCCATAATCAAGCCAACTACAACATTTTACAATATTCTTTTTAAGAATAACATAGGAATTTTAAATTACCAATTTTTTGAATTTTCTCTATAACCAATCACCGTACAAAAACACTTTGATATACTAAATTATTTGTTTTTTTAAGCTCTTTAAAAAGGTGTGGCGAAAAATTTATAAGTTTTGTGTTTTGAGGGTAAAAATGAGAAAAACCCATTTTTACCCCATAAAACCCCGTTCCCATGGTCCGATCATGCTGGTCCCCGAACTCATTCAAGTTTATCCCACCATACCAAATTTTATCCAAAATTTAATACACCTTCGAACCAAATTTTATCAAAATCTGACAAAAACTACTCAAGTTATTGTCTGGACGGACACACATATATATACAGAGTGAATCTCGTAAGGTGTCCAGTATTGATTTCAGACAAACCGTTTGTCCTACGATGATGAAGTAAAATTATTTCCCACTAAACCAACCCCAAGGAATAACGTAAAAATATTTTTAACAATTTTTAAATACAGGGTGTACCAGAAACTGAGGGTCACTAGTCCGAATCTACGAAATATCAAATACAAACGTATATCATGTTATACATCAAATTAAAGCTCTTTTCAATCCAAACCATTTGGTGGAATCAGATTTTGATTATATTGATTCATTTCAAAATGGCGGCTGTTTTTGAAAAAAATTAGTATTTTTTTGAATACCCTGTATTTTTCTTAAAAATGCAGATATCTTGATTCTGATTCAAATATCGCATTCCTTATGCGCTAAGCTTTATTTTGATATGCAACACTTCAATATTATCTCCAAAACAAAAAGTTTCAAAAATATCAGTTTTGGAAAATATGTACATAGCCAAAACTCAAAAATTTCAAATAGCATCATAAGTCAAATAGCATGACATTTTAAAGGTATTGCAATTCTAAGAAACTTTCAAATTTAAACCTTATGAGTATCTATTTTGGTTTTTGGGTTATCAACAAAAAACTTGTTTTCCCACATTAAAACGCATGTTATTTGTTAACATGGTGGTAACCACAACAATAACACAATAACCATAACAAATAACATGCGTTTTAATAGATAGATAGATATATATACATAAATAAGTAAAATAATAAACACCAGAGTACCCTGAAATTCATTTTTATTAAACTAATACGTATTTTGGCACTAAGATATACGTATATAAATTGAAATACGTATTAGTTTAATAAAAATTAATTTCAGGGTAGGGCCTACTCTGGTGTTTATTATTATTATTTTACTTATTTATTGAAAAAGTAGCCCTAAAAAGTGAACAAAACTATCAAAATATATATACATATATAAATATTTGAACGAATGGTGTTTTTAGTCTCTGGGGACATCAAAATGAAAAAGTAAATCAGTCCCGGGCCTAGGACTTACCATGAGACCTACGGTAATAGCTACTTACCTATAGGGAAATTCGCTAATAAAAATTGGATTTATGTAAATATTAAGTTTTTTTTTTAAACCCGTCTTTATGACAGTGCGTATCTTCAGATCCGGATCTGAATTTTTCAAGATCCGGTTCCGGATCTGGTACCAGCATTTTCTTGGATCCGCCCATCACTATAAAAAAGTACTGATCTTATAGGCTAATACATGATAACATAAAAACTAACAATAAATTAGTCTTTTGTTCAAATATAAACATCAATCTGTTGTTAGGTACATCCAAAAATCCATGTACTTTACAAAACGGACTGACTTTTACCTACTGGCGCAAGCTCTACATGCTAGTGTAAACGGGGCTTTTAATAACACAGATAATAATGAAGAGAGTTGTAAATTAAGGATACAAAACATAATATTTGCACCACAACATGTCATCCTACGTATACATAACAGATCAAACAACTGTCATTTATGTTAATCCTGGTTCAGTAAAATTCAAAACAAACATACTATACTATAAAAAATAAAACTGAATTTTATATGATTTGAAATGTTTTTTGTGTGAACAGCAATCCGCAACCTGACAGGACATTACTATCTCAATGGCAACTGGCGCATAGACTTCCCCAGGAGCATCAGGGCATGTGGCACGATATTCCACTACGAGCGCAAGCCTCATGGCTTCTTTGCTCCGGAAATGATTTCTGCTCTTGGACCCACAACTGAACCGATTTACATTGTGGTAGGTTATTTATTACCTATAATGTTATCTTCCAAATACATCTTAAATGTAAGAATAAATAAATAATAAATCTAAATAAATAAATAAGTAATAAATCTTAAATTAAGAAGGGGTTCATTGATGTATAGATTCAGTTGTTAATTATGATTGTTCTCAGCAATTTCAGTTCCCTAATGAGTTGCCTAAAAAGACTTGAAGGAACAGATATCCTAAACCGGATAGGTCTTAAACTTTACAACTTTTTAAAGCTAACGCAAGACAAGAAACTGTATATCCTATGAAACTCTAATAAAGGCAAAGCCTACCTGTTTTCTAAGTTTGTGCCATATAAGTATGTGATCACGACAAATTCATGAAAATCTCCTGCGGTTATGTAGACATTATTATCGCTGTCTTCCGCGATCGCGGCAAAAAACAGATCAACTCCCATGGATAAGTAAACATCATCATCCACTTCCGCGGTCACGGAAACATCAATCGTCGTCTTGTGTTTCGGGTTCGGCTCGGCTCAGCGGTAGTGATGCGACAGCGCTGTGCCCTGTGTGGACTCAAGCAGACAGCTTAGCGCTTGTATATAGTAGTGAGTGATTGGACAACCGACTGGAAAAAACAATCGACTAGTCAATCGGTTGTTAGAACTAGGTTGTTTTTTCAGTCGAATGAAAAACCAAGTGAATTCCACTACAAGAACTGGTGGCATTCAATCGTCACAAATGTTTCAGTAGTTTCAGTCATTGCAAAGAAAATAATCAATGATAATTTTACTTTAAACATTGGAGTTTTTGTTGTTGATTCCTATTGTTTGTTGTCGTTTGCATTAAATTGTTATTACTTTTGGTATGAAACGTAATGGAAGGACAACATTTACAACTTTGGAATTTGGCATTCTTATTTTGTAATTATTAACAGTTTAGTTAATAGTGATTGATTCCACTTATAACTCTTTTAAATTATAATTTTCTAAAGTTTAAATGTTAATTTTCTGTAATTTAAACACTATATCTATACTTATTTAATACGCAAGCAGGTTTTTGTGACAATTACTCCTCCGAAACTACTGAACCGATTGACATGTTTTTGGTGTCATTGGAAAGAGTGTAACATGAAGTTGTGCAGGAAACTTTCTTTTTAGGGGAATAATTAGAGAGTGAGGCCCTGGAACCCTCTAAAGTTTCTTATTTCTCCATAAGATTAACATGGGAAACAAACATTGTTATGAAACTCCAGCTGTTGTCAGAAATTATAAGTAAAAAGAAGAACATATGTTAATAGTAAACAGTCAATAAGTTTGCTAATTTAGCAGTTTGCTACAAACATTTACTGACTTGGTTGAAATGAAATATTTACTATTTGAATTTGGGTTGGCGTAAATATTACAATGGAAAAAGCGAGAGAGCCTGGATAAATTGATATACTAAAAATAAAACTGAATTAACACTGCATTTCTTAGTAATCATTGAAAGAACCGATTTGCAAACTATGGAAACATAGAAAAGTCATAGAACACCACCAAGGAGACGAAATAGAAATAATGTTTTTTTTTTAATTTATAATCGATATTATGGTTTACCTAATGCGACTATATGAGTAAGGCTATTTGTAGAAACACCAAAAAAACAAGATCAGCTTTTGAAAAATGATAAGATATATTATACAAGAAATGTTGAATATATCGATCTGTTATGTACATCTTGAGTATTTCCATAATCTTTGAGTCGAATCTTTTAAAGTCATCAGAAATTATGACTGTTATTCGTTTTTAAATAACGCAGCTGTAATACTAAGCAATTGCTCGAATTCGAGCAACAGGGACACTATGGTGACTAGTTTCAATCACCGACGTTTGATTGTTTCCAGTCATTCCTACGATGTGGGTTATGACGTATTGTTTTATAGAGTACTAAAACTTGAATCATTCAGTTTAAAAGTGTGCACCCAAGTGTGGCGCAAATAAAAGAAAAAATGAGAGGAAATCTTTCGAAATAAAACAAAGTTCAAAAAGATTGAACTTATTATGGTTATAGCTCGTTGCAGTTCCAATTCTGCAAATAATGATAAATCGCAAACAGGTAGGCGGAAATATCATAAGTTTTTTATAAGCCTACAAGCCCTCTTACTTAAAATACTTTTGACTGTTGAACGATTTTTAACTGACAGAAATTAAGCAATTATTAATTTCAACCAAATGATTAAACATTTTAACAGTCTCTGAAACCACCTTAGTCGTATGCAGCAAACATAGGCTAACTATTGTTGCCGTAAGAAGGACCCAAATGGTCCTTGTTTTATTTCCGGTGGCAGGGGGCCTCAAATCACCAACTAGCTGAGGGCCTCCAATGGAGCCAGACCGGGCCTGACTACTATATAAAAATCTAAAGGCCATGTCACACCGACATCCGCCGCTCCCGCCGCGGGAGTACCGCGCGCGGATGTTTTTCCTCGAGCCATGTCACACCAAAAGTTCGCGTCCGTGGCGGGAGTTTTGAGATGAGTTCATTACAATTCGTTTTACAAGAAAGTCATCTTACCTGTTTAGTATGCCATGTAAATACTTATCCACTTTCAGCTTTTGAACGTTATTTTTCGCTACACTACAAAGACTATTTACTTTTTAAATAAAAACATATGACCATTTCAAAACTAATGTAATTTTTTGCCAAGCCTTCTATTGAAAGTTCAAGTTTACTTTGATTGTAAAGTTTTGGTTGTTGCAAATCGAAAAAGTAGATGAAACAAAAAAAATTGTTTGCGTCGGCAATATAAAAATGTTTTTGGGAAACATTAAATTTTCACCGTAAACATTATTTTTGCATGGTAAACAAAAATGATTTCTGGTGATAGGCCTAAACATAATTACGAAGATAATACAAAACAACATAGACTACATCCTCAAACAAAAGAAACATGTTAAATTTAATTTAAAACTGTATTAAACTGTATTACTTGTAAACTTTAAATAGCTTGGGCATTCGAAATGCCCCTTTGCGCATGCGCTAGACAAAACTCCCGCCGCGGTACTCTAAAAAAATCGCTCAGCAGGCGGACGTGGCTGACACTACCGCACGCCCGCGGGCGCGCGGTAGTGCGGTGTGACTTGGCACATTTGATAACACGGTGAGCAATTTTTCAAAATTCGCTCCCGCCGCGGGAGCGAGCTCGGTGTGACTTGGCCTTAACGGGTTGTGTCTGTATGTGTATTACTAAAAGCGCAAAAACTACAGAACCGACTGGGCATAACTTTTACAAAAATATATAGCTACCATACCAAAAATGGTAATAGGACTATTCACATTTCAATACTGACCGTGGGCGTTGCCCCTTTGGCCTTAAAAGTTCTGAGGTGAGGACAATAAAAGTAAATATTGATTGGTCTCCATGGCTGCAAAGATAATATTAACAACTAGAGAACCCTCTAGCGGCCTCTGCGGGCTCAATGAGCCGCATAGTATGAAACACAACGCCGAGGAAAACGTTATGCTTAAATTCGAGTAATTCTAGTTACATCTTAGAGTTGTTTAAACACTTGTTAGAAACTAATTTTAAATACCTCTATTTGCGTCGTCAAGGTTCACCTACATTATTTCTGCTCTCAGTTTTAACTGATAACTTCTAATGAATGCTAAACGATCTGCTTCAATTCAAGCTAACATGTTGCAACAAAGTTTTCCCAGCATTGAGAATTGAAGAAAACTGTTTCCTAGGCATCCCCCTAATCAAACGAATTTTCTCCGTAGAGAATCCTGAAATGTGGAGTTATCAACCATTTAATGTGCTCCATTTTTTACCCACAAACTCTGGGTTATCAACTGGAAAGCCATCATCTGCTTTGAATAAGCTAAAGCAGCAACACCATTGATAGTTTGTTAACATGTTGTCTTTCAGTCACAGTATGTGCCCCGCATCAGAACGTTCTCACGTTGTTCAGTGGGGTTTCTCTTAATACCTGTCCCAAAGTTTTGAAAGTATGGATTCATTTGTCGAAATAGGTTGGATAACTCTTATAGCTATAACATTTGGATAGCAATTTTCATTTTGTCTTTTTGAACAGCGTATATTATTTGCCTCTCCTGAATCATAAAAATAAACTTGACTGTAACTACTCGATCTTTGAATACATGAACACTAATTCCTTCACTTATGTCTAATATTGCCACTAAAATTCAGTAAAAAAACTTTGTATAAGTTTGTCCGAGGAACTGGCAACATAACCTAGAAGTAAACAATCCATTTGTGTTTTTCCTCAATTAAAGTAGAGCGAGTAATACAAAAGTTTACAATAAAAACATAAGGTCCGCCAAGATTTGGTATAGCTACTTGAACTTATCAACTCAAAGGCATTATTATGGTTTCTTCTAAATTTTTTGAAATATTTCGATCTTTCAGTGTCATAAGTAAAAATTTCTTGCATACATTCATTTGATCTGACATTAGGCAAGTTTATTTTACCACCGTGACAACACTATGTGCTTCGTATATTTTTTCACTTCCAAAGTAAGTTGCATAGCAGAACTGGCAAATATTATTCATCTCACCAAGTGAATGTGTATCTGTTAGACCAGGCCTCCCTTTCTCTACTCTCCTTATACGCCTTATTATTAATTGTCTCCTCCTCCCGTTTTCAAAATTTCTTCTTTGAACTTCAGGCATTTTCCGTTCTTCCAACAAAACTGATTAACTGTTTAACTTGGTCTTAACCTACCTACTGAATATTAAAACATTAATATTTACTCCCAAAAAGCTAATGAGTTTCTTTTTATAAACAGCTGTTTTTATTTATTTTTTTTTTATTAGTTCTATGTATTTCTTATGGGGATAACCTGACCTTTGAGAGGGTCTCACGCCCTTTAGAGTAGAAAAAAAGTTCTAAAACCTTATTGCAAAACTACATATTAAGACGAATCTTTTGACGCCTTAAATGTTGAAATTGGTCCACAAATAAGGGAGGAGTTTCGTTAACAAAATACGGTTTCACGTATTATATATATATAGATGTTTACTTTTGGTTTGAGATTTCAATGTAAACAAGATTGCATGAACTGCCAAATTGCATATTTCCCAATTTCAGACAGCTGATCCAAAGAAATTAAATATTAATATTTTAATAGTTTTTTTTTAGCTTAAAAAAGACAAATAATGTAATATATTGAGGTGTTTTTGTGTTGTTATTGGTTACGGAGAAAATTCAAAAAAATGTAAATTTAAAATTCCCATGTTATTCTTATGGAGAATATTGTAAAATGTTGTAGTTTGCTTGTTTATGGGTATATTTTGATCAAACGTGGCAAATTTATTTATTTAATACAGTAAACCTTCAATAGTTCGACATGGGCTGAGGCTACCCGTCTAAACATTAGCGATCGATATTTTGTTTTAACACGTACGCCGATCAATGACCGGGACCAGTTCTTTCCAGTTATCAGAGTGAAAAACAATCGAAGATCACAAAATATTTTTACAAGTGATATATAATGGTTACTATTGTGATGTATGTTGACTTGAACATTAATTTGTCATTTATTGTTGACTTGAGACTAATGAACAGTGAAATTGTTAAGCTTTTTAGTATTTAATAAATTTTGATGAATTCTATATAAAACTAGTATTTTTACTTTCCTGTATATTAAACTCAATTTACTCCTTATAGTTCGACATTTTGATAGTTTGACCCCACAAGTCCACCCCTTAAGTCTACAAAGTGTCAAACTATTGAGGTTCTACTGTACTAAGCTTTTAATATTTTACTAAAAAACACACTTTATTAGCCTCCCTGTAGCAGCAAACCTAGGTACTCGTTTGACCTAATGTTATTTAAATAAATTGAATCGTACGAGTATATCAATTCAGCCAAATGGAAGTTCGCTTAGTCTGCAGGTTTGCTGCGGCGGGGTATTTATAGTAATAGATTAATATCTATGGCACAATACAATGACATTTGTTCACATTTTCAGCTGCTTTACCAAGAGAGGAACCCAGGAATAGAGTATGAGTACAGTATTCCTAAAGGAGCTGTCCAGGACACAGACCCGGACAGTTACACATGGGTCTACAACGAGTTTGGTCCTTGCAGTGCTACTTGTGGTGGAGGTCAGTATTATAAACTAGATATTCTACCGTAAAAGGAAATTGTGACACAAAGAGAAATAAGTGAAATAAAAGTATCAATCATCCCAGGTTGAAAATTAGAAATTTTATTTGAACAAGGGATCCGTGCGCAAGTTGCACATTCTATGAGGGTTCAAAACTTGTCTCTAATGCGTACCAAATATTGCAATAGCCTACCCTTTTGTTCTTCAAAGGCTTATGCTTGTTTAAGACTTGATTTCAGATTTAAGACTTAAACTTATGACTGTTTAATCTAGGCTACTTATCTACTTTATATATAATTCAGTTTTAAAAATCTTTGTACAACTAAATCTAGAATGCTACCTACTGGACCGATTTGATTAATTAATGGGTTATTTAAAAAGCTTAATTTGTGTAGATTTGCAAAATAATTATGAAAGTTTTTTTTATGATTTATGGTTAAAAATATAAAAAAAAACATTTTTTCCATACATTGAAAACGGGATTTTTCACACTTTTTATTTGGAAGCAGCTTTTGGCTGCTTTTTTGAGTATTTTCAAGAAATGCATAGTATCAATTTGTAAAAAATTTTATTATCTTTTAGAATATCACCATCCTCTTTGGTCGATTTCCTCACCATTAAACAGTTATTTGCAAAAAAGCTAAGCAACCCCCGAATTTATAGTAGCGAGAAAATACTGAGTTAGTGATATTTTTTTAAGCTTTGTACAACTAAATCTAGACTTCTACTTGACCGATTTTGTTAATTAATGAATCATTGGAAAGCCTAACTTAGGTAAATACGGTAGGCTATGCAAATAATTATAAAAGTGTGATTTTACTGAGCGGAGCGAAGCGAAGCTCTTTGGGATCAACTTCAATGCAATCTTTATAAAACTTAATCTCAATAACGGCTGAACATGTTTTAGCCAAACTTACCAAAGTTGTTTTGTCAAATGTTTGGATGGTTTAGACGTACCTAACCCATTTCAATTTTTGATAATGCCTATATAATTTTAAAGAACCTCAAAGTTATTTAATTTTAACATTGGCCATGATGGTTACTAAATGACAACGTAAATGTTAACAAAACAAAGGATCATAGCATATTTTAAAATCAAGCCATGACCTAAACACAGTACAAAGGAACAAAATTTGGATGATGACAACTGATCAAATAGTACAGAGAAAGTCTTAGGTTTATATTTAAGTTGCAGTTTGGAAACAACCACTGTTCGGTACAGTATTTAACAGATTTGATTTACGTAACCTAATATAAGGTTATAACAATTAACATTTTATCTTAAACGATTTGTCGGTGAATCACATTCATCATTCCATCTCATAAATGGCGATCTTAAACAGGTCCATGACGTAGGAAGTGATGAAGGAAAGAGTAATTGCGAGAAGTGCGGAGTGTGGGAAACGTTTGTGGCAGTTAGGTAATTATATCTAAAATACTAAAATGCTATGGGAAGGGGGGAAACAAGTCCACGACGTAGGATGTTGTGAAGGAAGTAGTAAAGGCTGGCAGTGTGGAGTAAGGGAACCATTTGTGGCAGTTGTATCTGCAAAACTATAATGCTATGGGAAGGAAGGGAAACAGGTCCACGACGTAGGAAGTGGTGAAGGAAGTAGTAAAGGCCAGCAGTGCGGTGTGTGGGAACCGTCTGGGGCAGTTAGATTAATATTGCAATCTTAAAATGCCCTAGGAAGGGAGGGAAACAGGTCCACGACGTAGTAAGTGGTGAAGGAATTAGTAAAGGCTAGCCGTGCAGAGTGTGGGAACGGAAGAGTTTTCTTACTTTTTATATTAAAATAAATACTCACATTATTTTACAATGAAACGTAATTATTATTAACACAAAAATTATTACAATGCTTCATTCCTAAATGCACATTTTACTCCTATTTATTTACACCATTAAATTGTTATATTGTTGTTCTAATAAGTTCATAACAGCTGGTCTTTTTCTTGTATAGGGAGGCTTAATAAGCAATACTATTACACCTTAGTGTTAGGTACACAAACATTTTATTTTTATAATACATTTAACACTCCCCCTTAATAATAAAATGTTTTATATATTTCTCAAAGCTAGATTTCTTATAAACCCTTACTGCTAGCTTAGTTAATAATATTGTTTGTGTTTTACAAAGTAGTTGAAAAACAATTTTAACATTTAAAAATACACTGTTTTTATTAGATTGTCTATTTATTGTCCATTTCATTTAATGAATAATATTTACATTATATTTACAGTACATTGTTTACCTCATTAACTTATATTTAAGTTTCAACTAAAAAATTAGACTAAACTTTTAATAAACTTTTTTTTTACGAAAATCCATTGAATTGTTAAAATTTTCTTTCCTAAAGTTTCTTTTCTGTCAACAATTTCCCAAGTTTCATTTTTCTTCAGAGATTCTTTTTCATTATTTATTGCAATTTTCCATTTTTCTTTTTCATCTCCATTGATACATTCGTCAAAAATGCGTTAAGATTGTAGTCTTCATATCTGACGGGTCTTTTTATGTTTTTTCTTTGTCGAAGATTATATCTTTGGTTTCTTCTTCCAGGTTCTTCTTCATCAGTATGTCCATTTCCTTCTTGATATAGGTCTTCTGGTTCCTGTTCATGTTCTTCTTCGTGTTCAAGTATAGTGTCTTCTTCTTCTAGTTCTTCACTTTCATCTAGTACAGCTTCTTCTTTAATGTCTTGTCGATCATCGGTTTTAGGTTTAGTAGTAACACTAACACTGTTCTTTACAAAAATCACATCCATTGAATTGTTAAAATTTTCTTTCCTAAAGTTTCTTTTCTGTCAACAATTCCCCAATTTTAATTTTTCTTCAGAGATTATTTTTCATTATTTATTGGAATTTTCCTTTTTTCTTTTTCATCTCCATTGATACATTCGTCAAAAATGCGTTAAGATTGTAGTCTTCATATCTGACGGGTCTTTTTAAATGTTTTTTCTTTGTCGAAGATTATATCTTTGGTTTCTTCTTAAAAGGTTCTTCTTCATCAGTATGTCCATTTTCTTTTTGATATAGGTCTTCTGGTTCCTGTTCATGTTCTTCTTTGTGTTCAAGTATAGTGTCTTCTTCTTCTAGTTCTTCACTTTCATCTAGTACAGCTTCTTCTTTAACGTCTTGTCGATCATCGGTTTTAGGTTTAGTAGTAACACTAACACTGTTCTTTACAAAAATCACATCTCTTGAAATGATTATCTTTCTTTTTTCTTCATCCCACATTCGGTATCCATTTAAGGCATAACTAAAATGTCATTAAATGTCATTTTCTTGCTTCTTTTGTTGAGTTTCTTTAGTCGACCTAGTGTCTTACAGTATGCTTCCGTTCCGAATGCTTGTAGTCTAGAGAGATCTGGTTTCTTGTTATACCATTTTTCAGCTGGAGTTTTATCGACAGTTACAGATGGACTTCTATTTAACAGTTATGCAGCTGTTAACACTGCCTCTCCCCACATATCTTTTGAGAGATTTGTATCAAAGAGCATTGCTCTAGCTTTATTTAACAGAGTGTTCTGTTCATTCGTTCTGCAGTTCTGTTCAGTTGTGGTGTATGAGGAATAGTGTAATCCAGCACAATATCCCTTTTTCCTTGCACCATTTTTTTAGGTTTGTCGAAACATATTTGCCTCCTTTGTCACATCTTATTTTATGTGCTTTAAGGTTAAAGTACAGTATGCTTCTGCTTCATTGATGTATTCTTTAACCCTCCGAGTGTCCCTTGTTTTGGCCTTAATGTCTGCCTATTTTTTGCTCATTTGCAAGGTTTTATTAAAACGGATCTGAGAAGCTTGAAAACAATGTTAATTATACTGTTCTATATACTATTTTGTTTGGAAAATCATGGGCTTCAATATTATACATAGAACATAAGGAACATTTGTTTCAAAAAAATTTTTTAAGTAAAAAAAAAATATTTTAGAAAATTTTCAAAAAAAAAATAAGTTCGCGTTCAATGAAATTGTATAAATTAAATTATAGGCCTATAAATATTTGAAAATAGCCACTTTGTTCTAAATTTTATGAGGATTACAAATATATAATAATATAAGGAAGTAAATTTGCAAATAAATAAGTTATGGGCAAAAAACTGAATTCAGTACATAGCGTTTAGCTAAGAATGCATAGCCTAACCATAGCTAGGAATCTGGCTGATAATTTACATCAATATCACTACCTACTTCTTCAGGATCATCAACCAGCCCTTCAAAATCACTTAAATCTTCTTATAATGCACCACGTATATCACTACTTTTGATTTTTAACACTAAAACAATGATAAACGTAATAAAACACATCAGTCATCGGTCCGAGGGTAACCTAGTTTACAAATACGCACGTCAGCTGTCTGCTACAATTACGATCGGCTCGGAGAACATAAAGCGCTTAGACAGACCTCTGGAGAAAGCTTAGAATCTAACGAAAAGAACGATACCTAACTCGATCCAGTTCAATCCGATTTTGTCAGTCATAGAGCCGTCGCCGTAAACAGTGTTTGTGAGTCGCTGCAGTGACAAATAACACTCGGAGGGTTAATGTATTAATTGGCTTCATCTTTAGTTTTCAACAAATATACTTTACAGAAATGAGTAATCATCAATGCAAGTAAGGAAGTAACTTTTTCCGTCATGTGTAGAGGGTTCTATTTTTCCACACACATCTGAATGGATTATATGTAAGGGCTTCAATCCTCTTTCCCTAACAGTATTAAAAAGCAATCTGGTATGTTTTGCTTCAATGTAAACTGAACAAAATATATTCTCACATTCTGTTATATCAGATGGCATCCCACTTGACATTTTAGTTAGTTTCTTCATGCTATCATTATATTTAGGTGTCCTAACTTTTTATGCCATATTTTCATTAATTCACTAGAATTTTCTTGATTTTCACCGTTGTCTTCTTGTTGACTGTTGTTATTTACCACCTCACCTGACTGAATTGTGACATTGCTGGTATTACCATTAGAGAGATTATTCTCACTGCAA